AGTTCAATTGCATTTAAAAATGAGATGAGTGTATACTTGTATACATCTTAGAGTATGCCCAACAAATAACATACTATATAATACTGAGCAACTCAAATTGCAAATTTTAGAAAATATGTTATATATGAAACGGGCAAAACGCAAAAAAAAGAATAAGATTCCCCCCCCCCCCTCGATGTTCAGTATACTGCACAGCACATTTGCACTTAAAAATACAGCCCTAGTCAACATGTTTGCAATCAAGGAAGGTGTAAGGGATTGTCTTACTCTTTAGCAGCTGTGAGAGGGATAACATTAATGGTAAATAATTGTTCTAATGTTGGCTGGGTTACAGCCTAAAGGCGTACTCTTCTACGGTTTCCAACCACAAAAGGGTCACAATCGTACTTAACGTGCACCCGCGCTCTACGAGATTATCCATTCTTCTCGGAGAAGACACAGTTTTTTATATTAATTTCCTTAAGATAATGGAGAAGGAGATTGAAGGAATGAGTGAGCAAGAGAGAGAGGGAGAGATATTTTATTTAAAATCTTAAAAGAAATTAGATTATGGGTTGTTTTTTTATATTACAAAGAGAGGAACAGAAGAAAAAAAAAAAAGAAAAGAAAAGAAGAGAAAATTGAACCAGCCGGCATGGGCTGGGTTCGATCCAAGTACCTTTGCCATGAGAGGGGATTTGGGGGGAGGGGGGGGGGATACTTTTGTGAAATGAAATTTTCAGTATCCCAAGGTCGTATCAGTATTCAATTACATTTTTACTTTCCTATCTGTGTTACTATTCTGTGCGTTAGTGCAGAGATGTGTTGTCCACACTTTTTCAAGGTTATGTAACTTCTCCCTGTAAATATATAGAAAGTCCAATGACTGTTAATTAAGCGATATTCTTGGCTTTGATCAGCTAGACAGGTCCTTTCCAGAAGTTGTCGTCGATAGACAATAAAGACTGGAGAAAGAGGTCATGGGGGAAATCGTAAACCGTTGGAGCGTAAGTCGTTTGCTGTGATCTGAAAGACGGCGGACCGTTTAAGATTACTGGGAGCCGGCTAATAGAACTGTGCTCTAGACTCGATGATGAGGTGACCGAGTGAATGTGAGGATGAAGTGGCGCAGCTGGTAGAGTACTTGAGAAATACACGAATGTTTGAGGTTGAAGTCCGAAACAAAAGGTATGCGATGATTTTTGTTTGTTTGTTTGGTTGTTGTTTTTGTTTGTTTGTTTGGAAGGGGTTGGGGGGGATGGGGGAGGGTATGGTTGGGGGTGATCTTTTAACCCTTTTTGGGCCATACCGGCCTAAATCATCCTTCCTGCCATGTTGCCATACTGGGTATCACCAGCTTTCCCGCTGTAGTAGCATACCGGCTTTTACCGGCCTGACACACCCGCCTTTAGTCGCCTTTAGTGCAGGCTTAGATATAATAACATTCCACTATAAATTTAGATGCTGGTATTCCAGGTCTGTGTATGTAAAATTTCATTGAAAAACGTCGCTTAGATCAAAAGCAAAAGCAGTTTCTTTGCTACACCCCCTGAACCTCTAAAAAACACTGAAGTAATTCGGTTCTGGGAAGTCATCAGCTGCTGGCCGCCATTTTGGTCGTGCTGTACTCACCTGCTGACCTATTTAAGGTGCAAAGAGGGAGTTGTTTTTTTAATGAGCTTTCTTGTTGCTTTTTTAAATCAAATCGTTAATTTGTATGCTTTTAATTAATTGATTAATTCATTCATTCGTTCATTAAAACCATGTACCGTATTGCATTTTAAAAATGGTTTTCTTGTATTCTATTCTATTCTATTGCATTTTCTATTTGTAAAGTGGGGATTGGAGGGGAAAAAAGAGAGAGAGGGATTTCCAACATTTATTGTTGCATATCCACTCACCCTAGTGTTTTGATACAGGGGAGGTTGGAGGGAGATTTTTTAAAATGAAATTATCGTAATATTTACTTTCATAAGCTTACGATAGTCTACTCGTACTGGCACCGTTGCCTTCCTACTTAGTTCACAGTTGTGTTGTCCGTCCAAATCATTTTGGATCGATTCCTCGTTGTAGGAGATAGATCGTTGGTTGATGGCTGTTTGCAAGTGTGTGTATGTGTGTGTGTGTGTGTGTGTGTGTGTGTGTGTGTGAGAGAGAGAGAGAGAGGGGGGGGGTGTTACTATGTTGCTTATGCGCTTTGTAGCTGCCTTGTTATTACTTTTGTTGAAATGCTGTTATAAATTACTTTTTTGTCTTCTTGGGAGGGTTAGGTTCACATCATGTTTGTTTATCCTTTTCATAACCTTGTTTATCAGACTATATTGTTGTATCTACCTCTGTGTGAATCTCAGTTTCAATTGACTGTTAGATTCCAATATTAAGGTGTGTGTATGGGGGGGGGGGGGGGG